AGCCTGGCGGGGAACATGTCACACCCACCACAGTTGCAGTGCCTAACAGGACACAACAGAATCATTTGCCCGCCAGGAAGAGGACAGGCAGTCACCGGGGACCGAGGCAGGGTTCTGACATCACCAGGAGCCAATGGGAACAGCCGGAGCCTGTGTGGGCAGCTGTGGCAGCAGGGCTGTGATTGTTTCCATTTGCCTGACGGCTGCCGAGCTGTCCCCACTCCTGGCAAAGGGAGAGCGCTCTGCCCCCGAGTATCCAGGGCCCTGGCCAGGCCGCAGCTAAGTAGCCACAGTGGGGCCTCCGAGGCGAGGCTGTCTAACCACTTGTCAGGGAGAGTCAGAGGGAGCTCCCAGGCAGATACAAGGTGGCTGGACGGAGCAGCCAGGAGCTCCCTTCCAGCTCTGAGATGCTGTGACCAGAACAAGCCAGCCCAGTTGAGTCATCACAGGAGCCTAGATTTGGAGCTGAACAAGACCAGAGGTCATCAGGCCCAACCCCTTCATTTGATAGATGAGAAGTGATTTGCATAAGGTCACACACCAAGGAACAGGGTGGGATTTGAACTCGGGGCTTTCTGCTCCGCCAGTTTGCCATGGTCCACTCCATTGTCCTCTTTCTTCCTCTCCTTCAGGAGCTCTCAACCTTGTTTGTGTCATGGTGGCCCTCTGGTGAAGCCCAGGGACCTTTTGTAGAACCACATTCTTCAAGGCGTAAAGTAAAATGTGCAGGATTGCAAAGGAGACTAGTTGTGTGGCATAAAGAAATATTTTCTCCATCCGAGTTCAGGTGTGCACTTCAAGCCAAATGTCAGGGATGGTGAGGGGCGTGAGTGAAGAGGGGAGGCTGGGGGAGCCCAGAGTCCTCATCCTGGTCACTGTGGTTAAGACGGTGACTTCTCCCCCCGCTCTCCTCGGGGCTGTGGCCTGGCTGGAGCCCCCGGTGTCTGTGAGAGGACAGAGGCAGGTCCCTAATGCTTTGAGACCTAAAGGACACCATGCCCAAGACGTCCAGATGACCTCTGGTGGAGGTCTAACTCTGAGATTCGGTCCTTCTGCTCTGAGTCAGAAGAGGGCCGTGGCCCCATCCTGCGCTGCCATCTTGGGCAGGAAAGAGGAGGCAGGAAGTACTTGGCTGAGAAACTGAGGGGCAAAGAAAGAACATGACAGAGCCAGCCAAGGTCATTGAGACAGGCTTCCTTCTAAATGGGGCCAGCTTTCCTCTGGCTCTCCTCCCTACCCTTAGTGCCCTGATGCAACCCTGCTCCCTTGGGGGACAGTAGTGTTCCAACCTCAGGCAGCTCCTTGGAGGTAGTCTAGACGAGATGCCCCGGGGACTAGACTAGCCCTACAGAACCAGTCTGGTATCAAGAGAGGTGACTTGGAAGAGTGGAAAGAGAACAGCTAACATTTGTGTCTTTTGGAGGCTAGAGGCAGAGGTTAAGTCTTTGTAAGAGCCTGGGGAGGAGGGTGAGACGGCAGCAGCTATGGAGGTGAAGGGACCGGGAGAAGAGATGGAGGGTGCTGAGGACCTGATTGATGATGCTACATAGGATCTGGTCTCCTTCATTCCTCTTCTATGTGACCAGGAAGCTTCACAAAACCTTTGCAAATCGCCCCTTCCCTGCCCTCCCATGAATGCTCGGTGCTCATGGTTCCAGATTGGAGGGTCTGGGTTTAAGCCCTGATTCTGCCCCCTGTGAGCTGTGTGACTTTGGTAGAATCCCCTGCCCTTTCTGAGCCTGGACTTCCTCATCTGTAAAATGAGGGTTCTGGGACACCTGGCCTCTGTATTCCCCTTCAGACAGGGTGGTTGGGGGAAAGCACTTTGGAAACCTTCGAGCCCTGCAGAAATGTGCCCTCTTAGCATTACCCCACGGGCAGTATTGGGAAAGGGTGCGTGGAGCTTCCTCCTTGGTAAGTTCCGCCGGGTGCTCCAGGGCTGTAGCCTGGGACCCTTGCTCCTAACTTTGTCCTCTCAAAGGCTGGGACCCCCAGCAGCATGGTAGAACAGCCTTGGTTTGTGAGTAAGAAGGCCTCCTGGGCAGACGACCCGTAGTGACTCAGTGCCCAGGGCATTCAATCTCTGCTCTGCTACCCCGAGCCCCAGGCCCGGCGCACCTTCCCTGGACGCCTGGGTCTGGTGTGCGCTCTCAGCCCCCGTTTCTTCCTCTATGGAATAGGAAACAATGGCAAGAACACTGGATGTGGAGATAGGGGATCTGGCTGTGGGACCTTGGTCAAGAGTCTGGTGCTGTCTGGGTTGTCTGTAGAATGAGTCGGCTGGGCTGCGTGGTTCTACCTCCTGAGCCCCCAGACCCTGCGGGCCAGGGAGCAGGCAGGGGGATGGGGGATGCAGTGACTCTGGCTGGTGGCCTCATTGTCACTTCCCTGTGGTGCCAGGAGGGGGGCCGGGCCCTTGGGTGTCATCTGTTGGCCTACAAGCCCCGCATCGGCCCCCGGGGAAGACACTGCCCTGGCCTGTTTTCTGCCGGGGTGGCCTGGTGCGGTAGCTGCAGCCTGACATCAGCTCTCACTGACGTCACTGCCCGAGCTGGAGCTGCGGCCGCTGTTCACACCGATCGATCCGGGGTCTAGGCCAGGAAACGTTGACAGAGGCGGTCCCCATGCCTGGAAGGAGGGACGGTGACAGAAGTGCAGTTTGCTGGAGTCCTGAGGAGTCGTGGTCCTTTATCCTCTCTATAACTCGTCCACAGTTGTTCATTATCTCCAATCTCTCCTGTCTACACTTGATTGTCAGTAGCTTCTTTGCGTCTCATCTCTCCCATCCGACTAGAGCAGGGACTTGTCTTTTGCCTCCCTCGTATCCACAGCGCTTAGCAGCGTCTGGCACACTGTAAGCACTTAATAAATGTTTATAGACTGACTGGCTCGGGGGAGGAACCTTCCCGGAGGAGGTGGTTTTTGGAAATGAACCTTGAGGAAAACATTGGCACTCAGATGTAGGGAAGGGGGACACATTCTAGGCACAAGGAATAGTACAGGGACCACCCAGCATAGGACGAGTTGGGGGAAATTATGAGTAGTCCCATTTGGCTAGAGTATAGGTATGTGAAAGGGGATAGTGAAAGTGGGATCATTCGGGACAGTTAAATCAGGATCATTGTGGACAGTGTTGAGTATCTGTATAAATACAGGGGGTCTTCTCCTGATTTGTGTCATGGACTCCTTCTAGGGAAGCCCAGAGACCCCTTCTCAGAATCAGGTATTTAAAGGCACAAAATCAAATACATGAGATTATAAAGAAAACCAATTGTGTTGAGAGACAGTTATCAAAACATTTTTTAAACCAAGTTCACAGCCCCCCCCCGGTTCAAACTCTTGGACTGAGAAATGTGGGCTTTATTTGGTAGGCAATTGAGACAGTGAAGCTGGTCCCCGAGTCCCTGGGATAGGTGATGAGGCCTTGACTTACAGCTGTGGCAGTGAGGATGCAAAGAAAGGGGTGGAGAGGAAATGAAGTGTGAAGAGAGGCTACCCAGGACGGGCAAGGGAACAGAGGGGAGGTGGAAATGACCCAGCCGTTAGTGGGGTCACAGCTGAGGGAAGAGGGTCTTTTCTTTCCAGATGCTATCTCTGTCCTCCTTGCGTTTTGCTCATCCTGGAACAGTCCTGGTCTGGCCGACTTCTCTGAGTTTATGGCACATTTGCCTTCTGGGTCCTCAAAGGCTGCTGCTCCAACAGGGTTTGATATGATTTGGATTAGAAATAGAAAACCTCTCTTGGTGTTCCAGTTCATGGCCAGGAAGACAGTGTTTTCTTCCATGACTGTAAGTGGTGGTCTGGAATGGAAGGCTTTTCCTCTTTCTGCATAGTAAGGGCCATGCTTACACTTCTAGTTGGGGCAGGGAATTATAGATGGGTAAAAATAGATGGGTCTAATTATTCTTTTTTTAATAGGAAAGGGAGTAAGTATTTATAAGGCATGTACTATGTGCCAGGCACCGCGCTGGGCAGTGTAAATATCTCATTTGGTCCTCACGACAACCCTGAGCCTCGGGTGTTGTTATTATCCCCATTTTCCAACTGAGGAAACTGAGGCAAACAGAGGTTAAGTGACTTGACCAGGGTCACACACCTAGTAAGTGTCTGAGGCTGGATTTGAACTCCGGTCTTCTCGATTCCAGGCCAGGCTAGACCACCCACCTTCCTCAAAGTTTTTAGGCAACAAAAAACAATGCATCCAGCATCAAAAAGAGAGAAAAGGATTGGGGAGGAAAAGGTTTTCCATAACTATTTCTGATGAAATTCTGAAATCTGTGGCTATAAGGAATGGGTGCAGATTTATAAGGGTGAGCTCCATTCCCCAGCAGATCAGTGGTCAAAAGTCACGAGCAGGCAGCTCTCAAAAAAAGAATCACCAATCATCAGTAACTACTTTTTAAAAAACATTAATCAGCAGAGAAATATAAATGACAATAACTCTGAGATTCCACCCTCTGCCCACCGAACCATTGAATTCAGTTTAAAATTCTAAGATTCCGTGCTGGCTATGGAGACACGGGCACTGCCAACAGAGCTGCAGATTGTGCAGATTCAAAAGCAGTCCAGCATTGTGCGGGAAGAGCGAGGGCTCCATGTGTATCCCAGTGATTCCATACTAAGATGGCTCCCTGAGGATGTCATTGAGTCACAGTAACAGCAGCAAAGATCTGGGTCTATGTATGATTATGTTATACATAATACACACATATACACATGCAATATGTGTACATAATACATATACACAGTGTGTATGTACATGATACACATAAATATATTTTTATATGTAGATATGAATATTATGCATAAATAAATAATGCTTTTACATTTTAAAATTTGTACATTGGGACGTTGGCTTAGGTTAACAAATTAACTCATTAACCCAATTTAAGAAGTTAAGTTTAGAAAAAAATATAAAGGCTTGAGGAAGAGGATTAGGGTTAGTCGTTTGGGTGCAGGAGAACGCTTGGATGAATTGTAACTGTCTTTTCATTTTCTAGGAACATGACATAGAGACCCCATATGGCCTTCTCCATGTGGTGATCCGGGGCTCTCCTAAGGGAAACCGCCCTGCCATCCTCACCTACCATGATGTGGGGCTCAATCGTAAGTAGAACCTGTCTTCTGCCCCTCCAGTAAAAGCCTCTGGCTTTGATTCACTTTCATCTGTCTCCTGGGCCTCAGTTTCCTTATCTGTAAAATGAAATGGTTAGGCCAGATGATCTGAGTTCTTTCCCAGCTTTACAGCTGGTTGGAGTTCAGTTCAGTACCAGAACAGGGAAGCGTAAGAGGGAGATAAAACCAGGAAGGGACATCTGCAATGTTCCTTTCACCTTCATAACAACTCTAGAAATTGGTGGGTTGAGCTTGAATATATCATGGCCTTAAGGACGTTGAGCTCCTTCTGTTTCCCAAGGATTAATTAAAACTTATTATAATCCCTGACATGTATATAGCGCTTTCAGGTTTGCAAAGCACCTTTCATCCATGATCTCCTTTAAGCATCACATCAGCCCTATGAGGCAAACCCGCCAGTATCTGCGGAGAAAACCCCAAGTGGGGCCACAGAGAGTCAGATGTAACTGAAACGACCGAACAGCAGCATAAAATGCTAGTATTTCTTGTTATTTTATTATTCGTTTCCTTGCATCTAAGTTTAGGCCAGCATGGAATCATTCTGGAGTTGAGGCCTGAGGAGGAAGGATCAATTAGAGGGAGTAAGAAAGTGCAGAGAGCAGTCACAGGAAGCAAGAGGAGGAGAGGAGACAGGACGCCCCCTCCCCCATCAGGAAGCCACAGTCTGCCCCGTCCAAGGGTGGCCTTGGCTGCCTCAGGAGGCAGTGGGCTCCCCTCTGCTTTAGGTCTTCAAAGGGAAGCTGCGTGACCACTTGAGTATGTTATAGAAGGCTTCTTATTCAGGTGTGAGTTGGTTGGACTACCTGACCCCCTGAGGTCACTTCCAACTCTTAGAGTCAGAGGCCCTGGGTTCAAATACCGGTCCTGACACTTCCAGTGGGGCCCAGGACCTCAGTTTCCTCATCTGTAAAAAAAAAAATGGAGTGGTTGGTCCCCAGACCCCTGATGTCCATTTCAGCTCCAAACTATGGTCCTGAGCATGAGGCTGGGAGTTGGGGCGGGGAAGGGGGGCGGATTTGGCAGGTAAAGTCAGAGAGGGTGAAGGAAGGTTGGGAAAGTGAGGCCAGGACCAGGGCTCTGGTGCCAGGATGACTCTGTGAACACCCACCACAGTCCAGCTGTGATCCCGGCACTTAGCACAATGCCTGGCACATAATAAATGCTTATTGAACTGAAGGGGCAGGAAGGGGCCTTAGTAGGCTCCTCGAGGCCCCCCACTTCATCCCACCAAGAGCTCACTTGCCTCTTTCCAGACAAGCTCTGCTTCAGCACTTTCTTCAACTTTGAAGACATGCAGGAGATCACCAAGCACTTTGTGGTGTGCCACGTGGATGCCCCCGGGCAGCAGGCGGGGGCATCACAGTTCCCTCAGGGGTACGTACTCCTCCTGGCCACCCCCACCCCCAGGGCGAGTGGCCCCTCGCCATCTGCCTGGTATGAGTAAGGGGTGAGCATCCAGGTGGGATGGGGAGTTCAGCAGGTCCACTACCCTTCGGTCTCCCTGCCACATGCTGCCTAGACACCTGGAAGTGGTCGGGGTAGAAATCCTGAATCAGTGTAAAGAGATTCCCCCCACCCCACCCCCCAAAGCCCTCAAGGGCAGGTTCCCAGTGGGCCAGACTCTCCATCCCTCCCCCTCCCCTTCCCCCTCCTCCAGACCACCAACCCAGGCCCGCCCTACCCAGCCAGGTCCCACCCTCCATCCCAGGCTCCCCGTCACTCCCCTTACTGATGCCTCTTCCTCACTGCGTGTCTCCCAGGTATCAGTTTCCCTCAATGGAGCAGCTTGCTGCAATGGTCCCCAGCGTGATCCAGCACTTTGGGTGAGTCTCTCTGCCCCAGGTGGCTGTTGCTGCTTAGTACCTGGGGGAAGCCGGCACGGGGCGAGGGGAGATTGGCACGGGGTGGGGGAGGCTGGCACGGGGGGAGGGGAGGCTGGCACGGGGGGAGGGCGCAGGCTGCAGGTGGCCCTGCTTTTCTCTTGAGCCGGGCCGGGAAGCTTGTGACCTTCCAGCCTGATGGAGGGGCCTAGCCCAGGGCCGCTCGTCCCAGGGGCTCCATGGAAGTACTCCCCAGTCTCTCCTGGGCTCTTACCGCTGTGGTCCCCTCAGGTTCAAGTACGTGATTGGCATTGGGGTTGGAGCCGGAGCCTACGTGCTGGCCAAGTTTGCCGTGAGTACCTGTGGCCTTTGGGAGGGAGGGAGCAGGCGGGGGCAGAACCTCCTGGGGCGATGCTGCACGTTGCCCCCCCCCTTGCTTCTGGCTCTCCCTGCCTCCTCCTGAGGTTGCTAGCATCACTATCGCCATCTTCCTCTTCACACTTGTCACACCTCCTGTTTGCAGTACCCTTTTCACATCTGTTATTTCACCTTATCTTCACAGCCACCCAGTACAGTGGGGGAGAGAAAGATTTTTAACCCCATTTTACAGATGGGGAAACTGAGGTCTAGGGACTCAGTCACAGCCAGGCAGTGGCAAGATCCAAGAGTGAACTTGGATCTGCCAACTGTGGTCCCTCCACGGTAAATATTGCCTGGGAACAGCCTGCAACTGGGCGTTGTCTGGCATCCACCCCCAAATACTCCTCAGAGACCTCAGCCCTCACACTGCCCCTTCCCGGAGGGGCCCTCTAACCTCCACCACTCCTGTCCACAGCTGATCTTCCCTGACCTCGTGGAGGGCCTGGTGCTCATGAACATTGACCCCAATGGCAAAGGATGGATTGACTGGGCAGCCACCAAGGTGAGAAGTGGGTTGGGATAACGGAGATCGGGGGGGAAGGGCAAAGGACAAGGCCGGCATTGCCCCCTCCCTTGGCCCCTCACACCTGCCTCCCTCTCTTTACTTTCAGCTCTCAGGCCTGACAAGCACTTTACCTGACACAGTTCTTTCTCACCTGTTCAGCCAGGTAAGGGAAAGGTCTAATGTCCACATGCTCCCCTTGGGCCTGGGAGCAGGGGTTTGGTGGAACTCTAGGGCCTATGGGGATCTGAAAATACTAGTCATTCCACTAGAAACAGGGCCTACTCTGGCACCCAGCCATCCTCAAAGGGAAGGAAAGGAGGGAGGAAGGAAAGAAATAGAAATAAGCATTCATTAATCACCTTCTGTGTACCAGGCACTTTACAAATTAGGATCTCACAACAACCCTGGGAGGTGGGTGCTCTTATTGTCCCTGCTTTACAGTTGAGGAAACTGAGGCAGACAGTGGCTAAGTGACTTACCCAGAGTCTCAGAGCTAGCAAGTGTCTGAGGCTGGATTTAAACTCGGGTCTTCCTGACTCCAGGCCCAGTGTTTTATCCCTGGCACCATCTATGAGCCAGGACCCCCAAGTCTTACTCTCAGATCTTTCTGAGGCCAAGTTTCACCCCCTCTCCCCTCCATCCCTCAACCTCATTTAGACATACCTCAAGTTTCCAAGTCACCCAAGAGAAGGCTATGGCACTCCCCCTATAAACAGTCAAGTCATGAAAGGGAGCATTTATTAAGAACCTACTCTATGCCAGGCACTTGCTAAGTGCTGAGGATACAAAAAAAGGACAAAAGACAAACTGCCTGATCCCTGCTCTTGAGGAGCTCACAGTATGACAGGGGAGATGGCCGGCAGACAACCTTGTGCAAAGGAGATGAAAACAGGATGGGCAGCCCTGGGGGTGCATGTGCAGACTTCTCAAGGCTTCTCACTTCTCTGACATCTCCTTCCTGCTCGTCCCTCTCATCCCTGAACTGACACCTTTCTAGGAACCTAGGAACAGCCAGGAGACAGTTGGCGGAGGGGCAGAGCTTTTTATTTTTTCTTTAAAAACAATTTCTAGGGGGGCAGCTAGGTGGTGCAGTGGATAGAGCACCAGCCCTGGAGTCAGGAGGACCTGAGTTCAAATCCGGCCTCAGACACATAACACTCACTAGCTGTGTGACTCTAGGCACGTCACTTAACCCCAGTTGCCTCACACCACAAAAAAAAACAAAAATAATTTCTATAGCCTGGTATTTTATAAACACCAATAATACATATGCGTATACAAATGGCTCTGAAAACCAGGGGTGTAACTCTCCATTTGGGGACCTTGGGGCTAGAGCCAAGGGTTCATTCAGCCTCATGCCTCCCTAGCCCCCACCCCCAATCACTCTTGCCCATTTCTTGGGGTCCCAGGAGGAGCTGGTGAACAACACGGAGTTGGTGCAAAGCTACCGTCAGCAGATCAGCAATACGGTGAATCAGTTCAACCTTCAGCTCTTCTGGAACATGTACAACAGGTTGGATCAGAGTGGGACCGAGGCTGCATACGGGGGTTCTTCTACTTACCACCCTCCCCCACCCCAGCCCTTTCCTCACCTCCTACCCCATCCCTACCACTGTCCCTGTCCTAATTCCCCTGCCATCCTCTGCTCCCATTCACACCCCTACCCCTGTGCTCATCCCCATCCATCTCTACCACCATCCCAACCCATCCCCATCCCCATCCCTATCCCCATCTTCAGGGCCAGCTATATCGGGAAGAGCTAGAGTTGGCACAGCTTGGCAATGTGGCAGATTCTACCCCACTAGGACTGCTGCTGGGCTCTTAGGCCATTCTCCCCTCTGACTGCTTTGGAGTCAGGACAGGAGCCTCCCTGGAGGCAGGACTCACCTAAGGACAGAACAGAGCTGTCCCTGCTGGGGTAGAGGTGTACTAACCCTGCCAATGCCATGGGCTAGCCCTATTTCTTAGCTTGGAACTTGGCTTCCCTGGCTCCGCCCTGCCCCACTTAGACACACTAAGCTATGGGGCAAATATGATCAGGTTGACTGCGTCCTCTGGCTGGGTGCAGAAATGCTGGCCCCAAAAGGCTAGCATTGTACTGAAGGGTTTTCTTCTGAGATTTCCATGGCTCAGTTGAAAGCTATCTAAAATGTGACTAGCCCCAATCATCTCCTTTTGTCTCTTCTTCCTAAAAATGGAAAGAGTACTGGGGCCAGTTCACAGGATAAGTCACTTTCCTTCTCTATGAAATGGTGGTGCTGAACTAGATGAACTTGGAAGAAAGATGGCTGGAGACACAGAAACTAGTCAGTATCACAGTTTGGTGCATTTGAAACTGGTTAATGTCAGCACCCAAGGAGAAGCCATAATTTAATGGCTTGATGGCATCTTGGAAGAGGAGTCTCCAGTGGAGTACTCTAGGAATCTGTTGGCCCTTCACTCATTGACATTTTCTGTCAGTGACTCAGCTATGGATAGTATGCTTATCACATTTGAAGCTCATAGGCAAAATGCTAGGGGAGGTAGTGAATATGTTGACAGCAGTCTGGGTCCAAAAAGAGCTAGAAAAGCGAGAACGGCAGGCTGAGTCTAATAAGATGAAATTTAATAGGAACAAATGCAAAGTCTTGCACTTTGGTTCAAGAAATCAGCTTTGCAAACATAAGACACAGGAAAAGAGGTGAGGGGTTTAGTGGCTCATAAAGCTCAACACAACTCAACAGTGTGATGTAGCAGCCCTGCAGAGCTAGGACTGTCTTTGGCTGTGTCAAGAGAAGCATGATGTTCAAGTCTAGGGCAGCAGTGGACCCACAGTATTCTGCCCTCACAGACCACAGATGGAATGTTGTGTCCAGCTCTGGCCGCTGCATTTGAGGATGGATGTTGGTAGGAGCAGGGATTGTCTGGAAGCGTTCAAGCAGGATGGCCAAGGGCCTCAAGATTGTGTTCTGCGAGCTTTGATTGAAGGGACTGGCTAGTGCCTAGAAGCCTAGAGAAGAGGCTTCGGGGAGGACATGAGCCCACTGTCAAGGATTTGAAGAGCTGATATGGGGGAGGGAACTGGACTTGTTCACTGCCCAGAGTGTAGAACAATGGGTAGAAATTGAAAAGGGGTAAACTTAAGCTTAGGACAAAACTTGCTAACAGCTAGCGTTATCTAAAAGCAGAGTGGACAGCCTTGGGAACTGGCTGGTTGGCTGTCCCTAGAGGTCTTTATGCAAAAGAACCTACTTGTTGGGTGTGTTCTTAGGGGGTGGATGCTTGTTCAGGGTGCTTGGGGTGTCTTTGAACTCTTCTGGCTCTGAACTGTAGGGCTGTGACTCCTCCCCTCACCAAAGCCATGGGGAGGGCAGTGTGCTAGGTTCAGAAATGCAGTCCTGGGGCAGGCTCAGCAATGATCTGTAAAAGCATCTCTTTCACCCTCTTCTCCCACTCATTCTCCCCTTGCCTAGCCGCAGGGATCTGGACATAAACCGGCCTGGGACAGTCCCCAACGCCAAGACCCTTCGGTGAGTGGTCCTGCCTCTGCTTCCTGTGCCCAGCCCCAGCCCCGACCCAGTTCTCAAAGGCCTCCTCATGTTCTTTTCCCCCCTCCCTTTTGTGTTTCAGCTGCCCAGTGATGCTCGTGGTTGGGGACAACGCTCCTGCAGAGGATGGGGTGGTGAGTACAGTGCAAATGTCAAACCCACCTAGTGGGAGGGACCAGAGAAATCAGAGAGAGATCAGACCCTGGCACAAGGCCAGCAAGGAATATACATCCTGCATCCCAGGGTCTGAGAGCCCTGTATTCAACTGTGGGCTTTCCAGGCTAATGTGTCCTGAGGAAATGTTCCCCCCACCTTGGGATGCAGATAGTGTCTGCAGCTCACCTCTCTGGAATACGCTAAGGCCTGGATCCATTTAGGAGAGGCTTAGATAGGAGGCACTGTCTGGCCCATCTCGTATATAGACGTTTTCAGAGGCTTCCCCTGTAGATATTCCCGAGACCCTGCCCCGTCACCTAGAGCACTGTGCACCCCTGCCACCCCTGGCCCTTCTTTCTGTCTGTTCCCCCTCAGGAACCAAGCCCCAGGAGCCCTTCTCCCACCCTCCCCTTCTTAGGTCATTGTTCCCTAACCTGTGTTTCTCCCCCCGCTCCTATCCCCCTCAGCCTCAGGTGGACCCAGGTATCTCTAGGCCAGGAAGAAAGCCAGACCGGGGGCTCTGGGTGATGTCACTGCTCTTTGTCTCTGACGCCCTTCCACCTCCTTCCTTCCTTCCTTTTCTCAGGCTTGGGATCTCACTCTCACTCCTAGCTGGCTGTCTGGTAATAGGTTAACTGGAGGTGAAGCTGTGTTAGCTGAGGCTGGTTCAGGCATAGATACTAGAATTTGTCAAAGAGTCCTCTCAAAGCTTAACTGGCCTCCTTTCCCATCTGCTTCTTGGTGGGGCATGTTGGGAGAGTGACCCTGCTCTCATCTTGAAAGAGGGCCCCCCTATCCCCAGGACAGCAGTGTGGTACAGTGGGTAGAACGCCGTACATGGAAGACAGAAAGACTTTAGGTTCAGCTGGCTTGCTGAGCCTTTCTCAGCATCCTTCAGAGGCATATTGAAAAGTACCTGGGGAACTCTCCAGCTCTAAAGAAACCAGGTCTGTTCCTCCTGTCCCCTCCTTCCCAGGAGGAAGTCACCGTAGCCAGCCTCAGGGGTTAACCTGCCTGGGGATGGCCAGGCAACTAGGTGACACAGTGGAGACCAGAACACCCGAATTCAAATCCCACCTCAGAATCTTACCCCAGGGGTGGCCCTAGGCAAGTCACTTAACCTGTTTACCTCTGTTTTCCCATCAATAAAATGGGGACAATCATAGCACCTGCGTCCCAGTGAAATATAGGAGAATCAAATGCAGTAACGTATGTAAAGAAAGCATGCTGCAAACCTTGTATAAGTGCTGGCTGCTGTTATTATCGTTCCTAGAGGGTAGGACAAGACTACTTGGGCCACACACCCGAGTGGGTGTCTCATTTGACTTTCTAACAGCCTGAAACTCTTACTTTTCTCCCCAGGTCGAGTGTAACTCCAAGCTGGACCCAACCAATACCACCTTCCTGAAGGTAATGCGTCCCCAAGGCCTCCTCTGTTCAGGTCTCAGGGACACCTGCCCTCCCCCTCGCTCCATGCACAGAGGGATCTCACCTGAACAGTCTGGCCAATGTCTTAGCGCTAACTCAAGAACACACTGACAGAGCTGTGAGACTCGAGTTCCTGCATGTGTGTGTGTGTGCACGTGCACACATGCACGCATGCTTATTATGTGGAAAGAGCAGAGCTTGTGTTCAAATCAAGCTGGACTTGGGTTCAAATGCCACCTCTGACGTCTCCTAGCAGTATAGACCGTGCTTCTCTCTCAGCCTCAACTGTATAATGAGGGGATTGGTTTCTGTGACCTTTGAAGCCCCTCCCAGCCCTACAGCCAGGATCCTAAGACTTCCCTGGGCCCCAGTTTTCCCCTAATTGAGAAGAATTTGTAACACTTGCACCACTGACCTTACAAAGGGGTCAAGTGAAATAATGTAAGTAAAGGGTTTTTAAAACCTTAAAATGCTGTGTAAATTCAGCTCTTATTATCACGGAGGGGTAGGATGATAAAGCCTTGGCGTTCAGTGGAGCAGGTGACCCTCATCTTGTCCTGTCGCTTCCCTCTGCAGATGGCCGACTCTGGTGGACTTCCCCAGGTCACACAGGTGAGTTCCTTTCTCCAGAAGGTGGGTAAGAGGGCCCCCTGGCACATGTCAAGGCCTTTCCCAGGGCACCTTCTCTAAGCTGTCAGACAGCACAGGGCAATGACTACCGGCCCAGCCAATGGTGGCCGGGCTGCCCCTCCTTTGGTGGAAAGGGCAGGGCAGAGACCCAGGGATCCTGTGGAATGGGTCCATTCCTGGCTCTTGACTGATGCATTTCTGTCTTCCTCTCCTACAGCCCGGGAAACTGACTGAAGCCTTTAAGTACTTCCTTCAAGGCATGGGTTACAGTAAGTGTCAACTCCGTAGAGACAGCTCGGCCAGTAAGGCTGAGGTGGCAATAGTGACCCCTGAGACCCGGGAGGAGGGAGCATCGGGGCCCGTGGAGAGACAGAATGGAGGGCGTCTGACTTTGGAATACCTCTTTGAGCTTGGGTATGCACACGTGCAGTGACTGTGCAAATCTGTGCCATGGGAGAAGAGTCTGTGTGGGAGAGCTGAGGTCTCTCCCTTGATAGGGACACGCATGTGGACAAGCACAGGCGAGCCTGGTGGGCCATCCCAATGGGTCATTGACAGGTGACCTCACCTGCTTTCCCACTAGCCTGGGCTGAAAGAACCCGTTGTGATTACCCAAAATGCATTGGTACATCATGAGACCAACAGCCATGTTTCCCTTGTACAGCAAGGTGTAGAGGCTTTGAAGGCTGAGACACCCCTAGGGAGGTATACATCCCATGGCCTGGGGGCAGAGGGAGAAGAGGGGAACGCTTACCTTTGGCCCACTGGGTTGTGGGTTGAAGGACCGGGAACAGACGGGTCCCACGCTCTTGGAAACCACATGGTGACCTCGGCAGCCCAAGTGATTGTCTGCCCTGTTTTCTGTAGGGTGTACAGTCCCGAGGTTTGTTTCTTTCCGTCCTGGGGAAGGAACCAGAGCAGGTAGGCAGGACTTGATTAAGACAGTCCTGATGCAATAGTCTTGGCCATCTAGGCCCTAATTTCCTGGGTGACCAATGCAATTGGCTGCATCAGACCTTTGAAGCCAGGTCCTGCTCCCAGGTGGGTTCTGGGTCCCCAAGCCCAGTATGTCAGTGTTGTTCAGGAAACAGGAAAAAGGCTGCGGAGGGATCAGGAGGTCCTTGACCAGGCATGGGGAACCTGCAGCCTGGAGGCCACATGTGGCCCTCGAGGTCCTCAAGGGCAACCCTTTGACTAAATCCAAACTTCACAGAACAAACCTTTTCATTAAGACCTATTCCTGGCTTGTTGCCTGTGACCAAATATACCAAAGGGGCAGGGCTGGAAGTGAGGGGAGAGGCAGAGGAATGGGTTGATTATTGTGCTCACTGGAGAAATAATCCTGGCAGTGGGCTTATCTAGAAGCCCAGATTGGAAGGCTCCCTGCTGCCCTCATCCTGCCTCCCTGTTACCTTCTCCCACTACAAGGGAGGAAAGAAACGTGGTGGTCCTGGTCACCACATGTCGTCTTTCCCTTCAAACATCTATTACCACCACAGAACATCCGATGTGTCCCTTGAGTCACACACACACACACACACACACACACACACACACACACACATACACACGCGCGCGGGCCCCAGTGTGCTCAGTCCAGCCATACCCTCCCAGACATCTGCGCAAATGTCTTCACTCAGGAGAACGCCCATCTTGAAACCAGTAATCTGCCAGCTTACTTTCTAGACACTGGCTCCTGTATTCTCAGAGACCAGCCAGAGGGCAGATGGAAAGTCATTAATAAGATCACAGTACAGGGATCTAGAATTCAGGTCTCTGAGTTCCCCACCCGTCCACTCAACCGGGCTGCTTCATTCAAGAAGAATTGCATTAGTTGTAAAAAAAGCAAAGTGATGCGGCCAGGGAAAAGAGAAGCTCAGTCCGCCAGATGCTTGGGGGAAAGGCGGAGCCTCCTGCCCGTCCCAAGCTGCTCTCCATCGGTGTGTCTTCCTCTCTCTGTCTCCATCTGTGCTGTGACATTGACTCCCCCTGCCCTGGGGAGACACAATTCTTCAACCCCTGTTTTCTATCCCCCCGCCCCTTCTCTTGCTCTCTTATCTTCTCTCTTAGTTGCATACTTGAAGGACCGAAGGCTGAGTGGAGGCGCAGGTATCCCCTTCACATTTGTCTCACCCCCTCCACCTACTGCATGGACCCCCTCCCCTTTCTGTATGCATCACTGCAGGAAAGTTACACTCGCTCTGGTTTGGATCCCTACCTGCTTTGTACTTCACCGTCCCTCTGCCCCAAGGAGTGACAGCTAATCCCACCCTGAGGAGGGACCTCTGATGCCAGGAATGCGAGGAAAGCCTCAGCCTGGTCACCCGATTCCTACTTCTTGAGTAATTAGTGTTCTAGAGCCCTGAGAATTCCAAACCAGGGAGCATAGTCAGTGAAGGCAAGAGGGCCTGCACCTGACTGGGTACAGAGTCTTGACCCACGTACACACTGTCCAGCCCGGAAGATGTTTAAGAAGAAATTATCTATGGATAGATGAGGTACGAGACGGCCTGAGTTTGTCTGTGCTTCTCAGGCTTCTGAGCTTTGAATGGGTTAGCTGTCAATGCAGTGTGAATTCTCAAGATCTCAGGTTCTCCCTTTTGGGCTTTTGAAGAGGGGAGTCCTCCCTACTCTGCACCCTTCACTGTGAGCCATTGGTTCTCTGCTCCTATAGTCTGCAAACTGGGGAGTGTTTGGTGAGCTCCTCCAAAGGTAGGGCCCGAGAAAGCACCACCTTCCCTCCTTGTATAGACATGGTCTTGAATCCAGCACATCCAAGTGGGATTCTGAGGTAACCTGGCACACTGCGACGCATCGATGCATGACTAGATCATCCCTGATCCCCTACACTGGACCCTCCCCCAATTTGCCCCCAGACCCTTCTCTACCCCAGAAGTTGCCCTTGAAGGGCATTGACATCAATGCTGAGGCGAGTCCCTGTGTGAGCTGGCCACGCTGTGCCCCAGCACCATGCCCTCCTCGGCTATCATTAGCTTGGCAGTGACTCTCCCTCCCCCGCCCTTACCGCATGCTTCAAGCCTAGAGTGAGTGAGCTGCAAACATTGTCCTCACATGGGGCCCAGCGGCCAGGAGGAGGGCCTGGTTCCTCAGACAGCTGGATGAAGCAGGAACAGTGCTGCTGGCTGCTTTGCTTGTGTGCTGTGTCCTCCCACCCACTGGTCTCCTGGCCCCTGCTACCAGGCCTAATGCTGCTCTTTCTCGCTCTCTTTCTCTCTCTCCCTCCCTCTCTCTTATTTGTCTCTCTGTTTCCCTTTCTTTCTTTCCCATCTCTCCCTCTTTCTCTTGCCCCTTATCCCTTTTCTCCCCTCCTACCTTCTTTCTCCCCCTTTCCTCTCTCTGTCTCTGTCCTATCTCTGTTTTTCTCTCCCCCTCTTTCTCCTTCCCTTTTCCTCTCTGTCCCATCTGTTTTTCTCTCTCCCCCTTTCTCCTTCCCTTTCCCTCTCCTCATTGCCCCCTCCCCATCTCTCTCCCCCTATCTTGTCCTCTTTCTCCCCCTTTCCTCTCTCTCTCTCTCCCATCTGTTTCTCTCTCCCCCATTCTTCTTCCCTTTTCCTCTCCCCATTGACCCCTCCCCCATCCTTCTCTCCCCCCCTTGTCCTCTTTCTCCCCCTATCCTCTCTCTCTCTCCCATCTGTTTCTCTCTCCCCCTTTCTCCTTCCCTTTTCCTCTCCCCATTTCCCCCTCCCCCTATCTTTCTCTCTCCCCCCTTGTCCTCTTTCTCCCCCTCTCCCCTCTCTTTCCTCCTCCCTCTTTTCCCTCTTGCTCCTCCCCATTCTCTCTGTCCCTCTCTCTTTCTGTTCACCCATTTTCCACAGTGCCATCAGCCAGCATGACCCGTCTGGCCCGGTCCCGTACTGCCTCCCTCACCAGTGCCAGCTCAGTAGATGGCTCCCGCCCCCGGGCCTGCACCCACTCGGAGAGCAGCGAGGCCCTGGGCCAGATCAACCATACCATGGAGGTGTCCTGCTGAGGCCCCTGTTGCCTCCCTGGAGATGCCTCACTCTTCTCCCATCGTCAACGAATCACCACCCGGCTGCCGTCCCTGTTGCCTGCCCACACTTCCTTGGTTTTATTTGGGGGGAGGGGGAAGAGGGGTTTACTTCTTTGGTTTTGTTTTGTTTTGTTTTTTTAAAAAAAGGGAAAAAAAGAGCAAAGATAACTATTCCAAGAAGGAGGAGAACCACCCTAAGAAGCCACAGCCCACCAGTCTCCAAAGTGTTCAGGGAGTTGAGTGACCCCATTTGTCATCACCTCCCAGGTCAGGAACCTTTCCTTCCTCCCCGATGCTTCAGCTGCAGGCATTTGGGGGCCTCCCTGGGGAAAGCTGGGCCCATTCCTTGGGTGGAGACTGGTCCACCTTAGGACTTTGCCCCTTCACCCAGCCCACAGATGTTCCCCCAGGCTGAGGAAGTCACGCACAAGATTGGACCTTCAGTCCTGCCTAACGGTGCCCTCCCATATCTGCTTGGGCCTTTGGATCCAGGAGCCTGGGGAAACATCCCCTGGCACAGTTTGCTGAGCTGTGTTAAGATCCGTTTCCCTAGCCTGGTTCTGGTCGCACATCAGTAAAACTTTTCACAAAGGGTCTGTAGAAGTGGGAGAAAGCTCAGCAAAGTCACTTCCTTTTGCCCTGCTGTTTCCTCTTTCCCCACCCCCAATCTTGGACCTTCTCTCAAACTGGAAGTGAGATTGTTGAACTATCAGCCCACCCCGGGGCAGCATTTGGGTCTCCACAGTACTGAGTAGAAAAGAGGAAATCTCGTCCTAGTTGGGAAAAGCACCGGCCCAAAGAGCCTGGAATGATTCGGCAGCAGAGGAGTGTTCTAAGAGGAGATAGGCGATCCACCGCCCAAAGCCATCAGCAGAGAGCCCAGGAGCCTTTATGTCCCTTCCATGTACTTCGAGATACATAGATAGATAGATGTTTAAGTCTCATTGCGTATGTGACAATCAGCGATAACAGCCCAGAGTTTGAATTGCGCCTCAACACCCTCTTTCCGCCTAAGGGCGCCATTGCAAGGATGGCCCGGGGCCCTATCCCAAGAGGCTGCTGGGCCCCTGTGGACTCGGGGCCTGTGCTAGCATGCCAGTAGTTTTTGACTTGGATAGTCAAGTCCCATTCCCTGGACAGATGGGCCCCAGGATAGGAGGTGGAAGTTTCATTTCTGCCCCAAAAGTGGCTTGGGATCAGTAGACCTGGGGCACCTAATCAGATAAGAAAGTCTTTAGAGGCCTGGCTTGTCTGTGGGAAGGGTGCCAAGAGCTTCAGGCCTGGTGGGAGTGCTTCCAATGCTTGGGAGGAGGAGGAGGAAGAGGAAGTGAGCTGGAGTCAGCCCGACCTGCTGAGACCAGCCAGATCCTCTGGCTGAGGGGCTTGCTCTCGCCTGAGTCTTCTGTCTCCTGCCTTCCCTTTCCCCTAGTTTTCTTTTGGGCTAGGTTGGTGCTGCTGCACTAATTACTCCTCATGTCTGATTCCCCTTGGTTCTGGTAGAAGGATGCAGCTCGCTCCCACGTGAGCTCCTTTGCTGAAATGGGCATGAGGTGTTATGTAGAGGGCTGGTAATGTCAGAGAACAGTAAGCGCTGAAAAGATTATTCTTTTGCCCAGGTCATACCATGATTAGGGAGGGTCCTGAGGGAAGGATTCCCTGTGAACAGCCTTTCACTTCCTGCCTAATGATCAGTCTCGGGCCAGGTGTCCCCTAAGGGACGTGCAGTCTTCGCTGAGTAGCGCACCACTCTCTTCATGATCTGGACGGCTCTTCTTCCCTATGCCATCCAGAGATCGAGAAGGCACTGACCAGGATTCCATGGGGGTGGAGGATGGGGTCAGTGTGCGGTAAAGAGACCCTGCTCGTCTTACACCAAGTAGATCACCCTAAAGTTTGTCCTCACAGAGAGGCATCAGGAAGGACATGCTTTCTGCACAAGATGAGTGATTTTTCTCAATACCCCTTCATCCTATGTCTGGCTAGAGATAGAACCATGATGTCTGTCTACAGCTGGCCCAAGCTCCTGAGGTCATGACCCCACATCTTATCCCAAACTCCCAGGGTTGGTCCAGGTGGATGGCTTGTGTCATGGAAACAGGAACTACAAAGGAGTGGTTTCTGAGCAGAATAAGGAAGGGGAGAGATAGAGCCTGGTCGTGGGCAGATCCTTTCCCAGCTCTTGAAGCTGGTAGTCTGAGGCCTGCCTTAGCAGGAGGGAAGCAGAAAGGGGAGCTAAACACTTAAGCTCGTTTTACCGGAAGCCTAAGGAAATGACACTGAAGATCCCACAGGCCACTAATGGTGAGAAGGGACGGGAGACGGTAGTAAAAAACGAGAGGGCCTTGGACCCTGGGTCTCTCCCCTGGTTCTAGGAGAGCCAGGGTTTGTGTGCATCAGAAAGCACACACCCAGTTCCACTTTACACACAATCTGGTTTAAATAACGTTAAGCCATCTTCATAACCACCCTAGAAACTGCAAATATGCTACTGTGTTCCCAGCTCCCTTCTCCCGCGTGCTTCCTTTGAACATTAAATGTGAATGTTTGAAAAGCTGGTAGAAATAATCCTTTTTACTGTAGCTAGTGCTGCAATTTTCCTTGGGTTCTTGGTGCGTTCTTTAAGACGAGATATCTATAAATATCTATACATATTATATATATATATATATATATATATATACATAGGGTCTCTCTGTGTGGCTTTCTGTTGGAGGTGGTCTGATTATATGTTAGTTTGCTCTCCCCCCCCTTTGGTTGAGGTAAAATTTAATGGACTTCCTACTTCTCTGTACAAGGTGAAAAACCTATTTTTGTGCATTATGGTGGCTGATGCTAATATCTGCATCGATGCCATGAGACTCTGAGATGACCACAAATGTAAAATGAATACAAACCCTTGTTGTAGAAAGAATTAACTGTGTTGAAAAACTAATAAACTAAGAGTGTCAGTGTGGTTGTGCCCATGTGCCCCAGTCCAGAATGCCTTTCGGACGGTGCCCAGGACGATGGCCACTGAGGCAGCGTCTACTGCCTGTCCCCAGCATGGGTGACACTGATGCCTCTCTGGCCTGGACCTGCTGGTGCTGTTCTGGATGCTTTACACTTGTCCAGAAATACTCGAGGCTTAAAACGGGATCGATGTCGATGATATCACATATGCCAGGGGTGACTCACTGTCAGGATCCGGGGAATGCTCGGTCCCAGGACTGGCCACGCCAACAGAGCACATCAGCCTCACCACATTCCCAAACTCTCCCGGTAGCCACAGCCAAAGGCCCAAAATGTTTCTTCAAGATGCCCAAGGATAGGGGGCGGCTAGGTGGTGCAGTGGATAGAGCACAGGCCCTGGAGACAGGAGGACCTGAGTTCAAATCTAGTCTCAGACACGACACTTACTAGCTGTGTGACCCTCGGCAAGTCACTTAACCCCAATTGCCTAGCCAAAAAAAAAAATGCACACACAACCAACCCCAGTTCTCTCACACACACACCGCATTAACACAATCCTGCCACACTTGCACACTCATTAACCTACGGCACAATAGACTGCCATCACGCTCAGAAGCAGGTTCTGATCTTGCCTACTCCATCAATAAGAAGTATCAGGAAAACATCTGGAAGCTTTCTTATAGTCCAGGCATAATTTGCTGCGATGGGTAGCAGAGAACCCTCTTCACTTTGTCTCTTTTTGTATCCCCAGCACTTAGGACAGTCCCTGGCCCACAGCAGGCGCTTAATACATTTTACCAATTAGCCTACCAACAGGGGCAGCTTATCAGGGAAGCCATTTTTCCAGGAATCGGTGGCTATCAGAAGACTCACAGAACTGATGGCACCTCCCAGTGAGGCTCAGACCAGAAATTACTGAAGATCACGTAACTGGCAAGGAAAACGTGGTAGCTTATGTCCTGACCCTCAAGACAGTCTCCTTCCTTCCCCAATGAGAGATCAGTGCCTGGCTCACAGTCTCTTGGACAGACAGATATTCCCTCAACACCTAACTTCCCGGTTCCTCAGTTTACCCATTTCTCGTGACCTTCTCTTACACCACCTCCGTCGCACACACAGATGGCTGTATCCTGGATCTTGTCATCAGCTGTGTTTGTGACCTCTGACATCTGAGGAGCTCATCCTCTGCGTTGCAACTCCTAACTCCACTCCCCAATCCCTCCATGCTGCCGTCATCTCCCAGGCCATCACCCCTGCCAACACTCTTGCCCTGCTGAGCCCTAACCATTCTCTGCTCACGCTCCTGTTCACAGGCTGCTGAACCACGGTTACATAATCTCAGAAAGAACTTGCATGTCTATAGTGCTTGAAGTTTGTAAGATCGGTGCAGATGAAGAAACTGAGGCTGAGAGGTTGTGATTTGTGATGGGTCATTCCTGGGGAAGTGAGGCAGCCCCAGGGATAGTGCACCAGGACTGCAGTCAGGAAGACTCAAGTTCAAGTAAACTTCAGACACAACTATGTGACCCTGGGCAATTCACTTAAAACCTGTCAGTTTCCTCATCTGTAAAATGGGGATAATACTAGCACCTACTGGCAGGATCATTATGAGGACCAACTGAGTTAATAATTGTAAAGGGCTTAGCATAGGCCCTGGCATATAGTAGGTGCCATATGAATGCTTATTCCCTTCCTCCATATACCTAGTCAGTGTCTGAGGCAGGATGTTCCCCCAAGTTCAGCCCTCATCTACCTTGTGACCCACTTGCCTTTCAACGAGGCCTTCACTGCTGCAAGATGATGCTTTTACACCTACCTCATTGACTCACTATCCTCCTCACCACTGTCATTTTTTAAAACCTTTACAAACCTCCCACGGCTCCCCTTCTGCCTACCTCTCAGCTGAGGACCTCGCCTCAATATTTCACTGAAAAAATCCCTCCTGCCCTGCTCCTCATCTCACAGCACCCCGATACCTTCTGACACCGCCTCCTGCACCTTCATCTCCCATGAAGACGTGGACCTTCTCTGCCAAGGCAAACCCCTCTATGTGCACAAAGGACCCCGAGAGCTCCTATCTATCATCCCCACTCACTAATCTTCAGATCTCTCCCTGCTGCCTGCAAAGATGCTTCTGTCTCCCCCATCCTTAAAAAAAGAGGCAGAGGGATAGTAGGTAGAGCTCTGGCCTTGGAGTCAGGAGAACCTGAGTTCAAATCGGCCTCAGATACTTGACACTTACTAGCTGTGTGACCCTGGGCAAGTCACTTGACCCCTTTGCCTCACCAAAAAGCAAAGGAAAAAAAATAGATGTACATATATATATATATATATATATATATATATATATATATATATATATATATATATATATATATATATATAGAGAGAGAGAGAGAGAGAGAGAGAGAGAGAGAGAGAGAGAGAGAGAGAGAGAGAGAGGCAGATAGGTGGTGCAGTGCAGAGTTCTGGACCTGGAGTCAGGAAGACCCGAGTTTGAATTTTGCTTCCTAGTTGTGTGACCCTGGGTAAGTCACTTAATTCATGTTAACCAATTGCCTCAGTTTCCTCATCCATAAAATAAGGATAATAATTGCACCTACCTCCCAGGGTTGTTGTAAGATTAAATAGTTAACTTAGTGAGTCAAAACTGTAAAGGCAAGAAAGTCATGGGGAGAGAAATAGCTGCAGAGATGATAGGACAAAAAGAGAGAGGGGACAGAAGGCCTAGAGATGTAGGAGATGCACAGCAGAGGCAGAGATGGACAATCACAGAGGGCCTTTCAGAGCTGAAGATCCGAGGGAAGACAAGGCACCCAGCGAGGCAGAACATGGGTAAATAATGGTGGCTGGTATCTATACGGAGCTCTGCTGTCCTTCAGTTGTGTCCGGCTCTCAGTGACCCCACTGGGGTTTTCTTGGCAGAGTTACTGGAGTGGTTTGCCATGAACTTCTCCAGCTCATTTTACAGATAAGCAAAATGAGGCAAACAGGGTCAAGTGACTTGCCCAGGGTCACACAGCTAGCAGCTAAATGCCCAATTTGAATATATATGTACATAGAGAAATATATATCAAAATATTTTATGTTTCATGTTATGTAACAGTATTGTGTACAACTATTTTATATGTGATTTCATACATATATGTATCTGCATACTGATACACACATACCTATATACGTATACATATATGTGTGCATATGTGCACACACACATAATTTGAGGGGGCTGTGGCCAGCCTTGAGGCGAGGTCCCCTAGACTGCTGCGTTGGGCGTGGGGGCAGGGAGATACACGAGGGGCTCTTGGCAGCAAGTGAGACAAAGCGCTTTGCGCAGATCGAGGTACATAGTAGGCGCTTAATCGGTGCTTGTTCTCCCGCCCTGCCCCGCCTTTCCGTGGGACGAGGGCCTGGGCTGGGGTGGGCGGCGGCCGTGGCAATGGGGAGTCCCGCAGCTCGCTGCCACTCCACACTCCACGCGGACACACGACTCCCACTCTGCCTGTGAGGCCCCGCCCGGAGCTGGCGCAGAACAAGGACTGGCGGGGACGGACAGGCCTTGCAGGACAAGCAGGCCTTGCAGGACGAGCGCGCTCAGGACTTCGCTTTTGGCCCTCTCCGGCCCCCGTACCGGGAGTGCTCCGAGGGCCCTTTAAGAAGGGGGCGGGCCTCCAAGGGAGGAAACCCAGCGGCCACGCGGAGCCAAAGCAATGGCGACGGCAGCGAAGCGGCCGAGGGTGAGGAACGGGGCGCTCGGAGCTGGGAGGGGCAGGGAGGGAGCGTCCCCCTACTCATCTGCGAGAGCCCAGGGCCGGACCGGCACGCGCCCGAGGCCTCCGTGCCCAAAGGAACCTGGGAATTCCAGCCCTGGCGCTCTCTCGTTAGGTGGAGGGAGCCTCAGGAGGCGGAGACAACCCCGTCCCGGCCTTCCTAAACTGGTGCCGCACGGTCGGACTGGAGCTGAGTCCCAAGGTGAGCCCGGAGGGGGCGGGATTTCTGGGCGGAGACGTGGGTCCCCATTGGTACTTTAACCAGGGGGCGGGGCCCGCGCACTAGCGCCCATTGGAAGTTGCTGGCGAGGGCAAGTTCTGAGTAGGGAGGAGGGCGAGGCCTGCGACCGACGAGGCTCAGGTCTCCGGGCGGACCATTGGCTGCTGAGGGAGGGGGCGGGCGCCGGACGCAAGTGCCTATTGGAAGCTGCGGGAACGGGCTGGACCCGAGTGGTGGCGGAGCCTCTGATCCTCGGGTCCCAGCGTCTGGCGGGTTTTAGGTTTCGGTGAGCCGGGAGGGCACCGTGTCTGGCTACGGGATGGTGGCCCTGGAGGACGTGCAGCGCGGGGAGCTGCTCTTCGTGGTGCCACGGGCCGTGCTCCTGTCCCAAAACACCAGCACCATCCGGGGGCTCCTGGAGAAAGGTAGTAGGGAGCCTGGGGGGAGACGGGGAGAAGGCTCCCTGCTGGGGGCAGGGGTCCCCAACGTCCCAGGGTGACCGGGGTCCTGGTTGTCATGCAGAGCACGGGGCCCTGCAGAGCCAGTCGGGCTGGGTGCCCCTTCTTCTGGCCCTCCTCTACGAGTACCTGGCGGAGGACTCCCCCTGGAGATGCTATTTCGCCCTGTGGCCGGACCTGGGCAGCCTGCAGCACCCCATGTTCTGGTGAGAGCGGTGGGGGGGGGGCACCAAACCAGAAGCACCGGTGGGGAGGGGGTGGGACTTAATTCCACCGTTCCAAAGCCCCTGAAAGTGCCAAGACCTCCCAGTGTGAAGAGTTGGTCTTGCCTGCCTTACACTCACTCTATCCAGTGTCTCCTGTATCTCTCCTGTCTCCCATCTCTGCATCTCTTTTCCTCCTCTTTCCTACTCTCTGTCTCTCCTCTCTCCCCCTTCCCTCACTTCCCTTCTCCTATCTCCCCATCTCCCTAATCTTTCTCACTCTGCCTCTCCTCTCTCTCTCTCTCTCTCTCTCTCTCTCTCTCTCTCTCTCTCTCTCTCTCTCTCTCTCTCTCTCTCTCCCCCCCTCTCCTCTCCTTTCTTGCTTTCCCCTTCCTGCTCCTCTTCTGTTTTCACGATTATATTTTTCTGGTAAAAGTAACTCTTGGTGAGAAGTGACCAAAGAATATTAAAACTGGAAGAGACCTTGGCGCTCATTCAATCAACAGTATTTAATAGAGATTGAGACGGAGGCTCAGAGGAGAAGGAAACCCCACAGACCCTCACTACTACAATTAGCGTATAATACAGTCTGTTTCTCTAACAGTAAGCTCCATGAAGGTCAAGGGCCTGGTCCTTAGCCAAACTCTGTACTTGCTACGTGCTCTGCTCAAATTCAGTGATCAGTGTTTGTTCTATTACTGTGGAGAGCAGCCTGCTTTTAAACACTAGTAATTTCCATGCCCCCTGATTCTTCATAAAGCAGTGTTTTGCCCTGATGTTTGGAGGAAGGGGACCAAACGCATTGTAGCTGGTTGGCCACTCTGGAGAAACAAGCCCATACCCTCTAATACTTGGAGCCGAGAATCAGGATCACAGATTTAGAGGTTTTAGAGAACTTTTGGAAGTCATCTGGTTCCGTGATCTTCATTTTTATAGATGTGGCAACTGAAGCCCTGACAGGTTAAGTGATTTTCCTGAGCACACACAGGTACCAAATGGCAGAAACAGAATTTTAACCCAGGACCTCTGACCCTAAGTCTGCTTCTTTCCACTGTACCATGCTGTAAGTATAACTAGCTTAGTCTGTGACCGGGGGCAAGTCACTTGCTCTTTTTGGGCCCATTTCCCCGTCTGTAAAATAAGGTAGCTTGACTCCATGACCTCCGAAGACCTTTGGAGCTCTGGCATTCTCACCCACCCCTCGTGGTAGGGGCCTGTGGGCCTAAGGTGTGACCTTGACCCATTCTCCCCTTAGGTCTGAGGAGGAACGGAAACAGCTCCTACAGGGTACTGGTGTGCCTGAAGCTGTGGGAAAGGACCTGGCCAGTATCAGCCATGAGTATGGTACCATTGTCCTGCCCTTCTTGGAGGCCCATCCAGACATCTTTCCCCTCCAGGCCCAGTCTCTGGAGCTCTACCACCAACTCGTGGCAATGGTCATGGCCTACAGGTGATCAGCATTCTGGGGAGCTCACACTTTGGGGATACGTACGAGATTGGGCCACAAAGGTATCTGGGAGAATCCATCCTTGATAACCACCCACAATAAAATGTAAACTTCGTGAAGTCAGGGATTGTTTAAAATCTTTCTTTTCTGGCAAGTAGCACCTGGACTTTCCAACTCCAAGTCTAGTACTTAATGCTTGTTGACTGACCTCGGGTTCAGCCTGTATCCTAGGAGTTTTTACCTTAGGGTCAACAAACCTGCTTAATGATTTTATAACTATTTTGGTATAATTAGTTTCCTTTGTGCTCTTATAGATCTTATGCATTTACAAACATGATTCTGAGAAGGGGTCCATACACTTGACCAAACTGACTGCCAAAGGGGTTCATAATAAAAAGCTTACCATTTCCTTGTCTAGACTGAGGCCAAGAAGTTGACCAGGGCTAGCCTCTCTTCATAAGGATAAGCTCTTGTGTCTCTTGTGCCCTAGAGGTGTTGATCAGGTGAGAGGTGACGGGAACAGTAGCTCATCTTCCTGTTCCCCATGAAAAACGCGGAGTAGGCCTGTGCCTCACCTTCCTTTGTGGCAACTTTCTCAGCTCTTCCTTCTTTATGGCAGTTTTCAGGAGCCCCTCGAAGAAGAGGAGGATGACAAGGAGCCCAACCCCCCTATGATGGTACCAGCTGCTGATATACTGAACCATGTGGCCAACCACAATGCCAATCTGGAATACTCCCCAGTGAGTGGGTACATTTTAGATTAGATGGGCCAACCTAATTACTGTTCTTGTGCACACTGACAGTTCTGAGGCTCCAAGTCTGAAATTCTGACTTCCTTTGTAGTAAAGACCCAGGGAATAGGACAGCCTGTCTTACAGAGGCATCACCACTTTAGTGGTCAACAAAATAGCACTGAAGTGTAGAATCACCACCACTGGCTCATCTGGGGGACTTTAGAGGGCAGGAATGGAAGGCTCAGAAACTTCAGGCATAAGCATGACTTTCCTGGGCCTCATCCTTCCAGCTCTAGGTGTAGGGTGCTTTGACTTGGGATTCAAGTGAAACGCTGGCTGTCGACAGTGATACAGAACCTGTGTTCCTAGGGCTAGGTCCCATTGCGGTTTCTTGCTGTATCTAATTGACACATACTGGGGTAGCTAGGGGGACGCCACAGTGCACACAGCAACGGACCTGCAGCCAGCAAGATGCAATGCCTGTTTGTAAAACATTTAGCACAGTAGGCACTATATAAATGGGAGCTATTACGTCTGTCTCGCTTTCTTAGAAAAGGTGTAAATGGGCTGCCTGGCCTCCCACTGTGGCGGTCACTGTATTCCTCCTGTTCGGTCATTTCTTGCTCTGCTGTGTTTCATTCCTCTTTTGTCCAGCTCATGTTTTTTTAAAGGCTGAGAAGCTTCTTCAAGCATTAGCAAACAGCAACCAAAGCAAACTGAACTTTAATCCTAAAACTGTCCAAGTGTCCAGTGAGGAGGGATCCACCTCCTCTCAGTTTGTAGATAGGGAATGGTCTGTCCAAAACCCCATCTGGCACGTAGCACCTGGACTTTCCAACTCCAATTTTTACCCTTCCCCAGTACTGTTCTTGCTATCAAATCTTGGGAATAGTTAAATTGGCGTTTTCCTCTAGATTAACAGAATTAGTAGAGGAACAGAATCGAGCTGTCATCTGGTCTGGTTCCCAGAAGAGGGAGGTGATGGAACAGGTACGGACCCTCAGCTCTCCGCTTCTTCTGCAGGAATATTTAAGAATGGTAGCTACCCAGCCAATCCCCAGAGGCCAAGAGATCTTCAACACCTATGGCCAGATGGCTAACTGGCAACTGGTGCACATGTATGGCTTTGCTGAACCCTATCCTGGGAACACAGATGATACAGCTGACATTCAGATGACAACAGTGCGTGCGGCAGCCCTGCAGGGTATGTACCCGTTCTGGGAACGAGGGGGCTAGGCTACTGGGATTCCCACTTCCCAAATACAAATACTGAAGGGAAGAAAGGTATCTAAGAAAATACTTTCTCTACTTTCTACATAGGAGCCACAACTGAGGCAGAGAGACACCTGGTGTGTGAGCGCTGGGATTTCTTGTGCCGGCTGGAGATGGTGGGCGAGGAGGGGGCATTTGTAATTGGCAGAGAAGAGGTGCTTACGGAGGAGGAGCTGTCTGCTACACTCAAGGTGAAACCTACAACTGGTCAAACTTGCTGACCCAGTTTTGAATTGGACTTGCCTTCTAGTAATTTTAGGAATCTGAAAACCAAGTATGGTTCTTAAGCTGGAAAGAATCCAAATTAACTTTCTATACTCTGATTACAGGTGCTTTGCATGCCAGCTAAGGAATTCAGGGAACTTAAGGAACAAGATGGCTGGGAGGAAGATGATGGTGAGGAGGACAGCTTAACATTGACAAATAAGACTATCCCCCAACTTAAAGCTTCATGGAAGACACTTCTCCGAAACAGTGCTCTGCTGACCCTGCAGGCCTATGCCACAGACTTAAAAAGCGACCAAGAACTACTTCGAAACAAGGAGACCAGGGCCAAACTCAACTGGAGGGAAGAGCAAGCCTTGCAGGTGCGCTATGGGCAGAAGAGGATCTTGCATCAGTTGTTGGAACTGACCAGCTCCTAACCTCTGGCCTCAAACGAGGGAAGCAGATGAGCAAAAACTGCTCCTCCTGCAGTTGTTGGGGCCTGCTGGGTCCAGCTCCCAAAGTCTGGACTTTTACTGCTCTGTTTTTTGGTTGACTTTATCTCTGTGCTCTATAAACTTCCTTAGTTCATGTAATGACTCAGCTCTTACTCGAGGGAATGAGGAAGCCGAAGTGCTGTGCTGTGGAGCACAGGAGAGAGAACAAGGAATTATAAAGAGATCAGGATCATACTACCTACTTTACAGGGTTGGTATGCAAAAAGTGCTTTCTCTGCCAGTGAATGTTAACTGCCTTTAGTGAAAAGTGACTGCTTGGAATTCAAGCTTCAGTCAGGGGTTGGCTTCACCTCCTCAGACTTCATGGGTCAGGTCAAAGAATCAGACCTTAGAGGGTCTTACATCCCAAGCTGGAATAAGTCAGGGGCCATCCAGTCCAATCCCTTCCCTTCATTTTAGAGACAAGAGAAATTAGGTCTAGCAAAGTTAAGTGACTTGTCCAAGGTACATAGGTAGTTAAGGATCAGCAGCAGGAGTTGAGTCCAGGCCTTCTGAATCTACAGCCAATCCTAATTTTCCTAGGTCACGTCTACCTTCATCTTCCAATTCTAGACCATGAAGTAATGAAATTATGTTTCTGGCACTGCTGTGTTTTGTTTTTTCTAAATTCGCATGATTTGCAGGAATAAACTTTAGTTCACAGTTGCCCTCGGCTTCCAACTGTGATAAAAGTAGAGGACCTCTTCATGTCTAGATGGTAGCAGAATCAGCTCAGGAACATTTTACATAAGGCCTAAGACGAGATTTTTTTCCCCTTTTTACAATGTCCTGCAATGAATCCATCCATACCTAAAAGGCTGCTAAGGTGGGTGAAGATGTGCAGACAAACGTTGAGTACTAGTGGACCGTCTGGTCCTTTCTGGATACTGAAAGACACAGCAGCACTGCCTGCCTTCTAAATAAAGCTGAACATGCCAAGGAGCTTTGCCAGAGTAAAAGCTTTAAAAAAAAGAAAAGAAAAGGAGAGACTATTCATTACCTCTCTTTTCAGTGTCTCTATTTTTAGTGACAAATCATGTATGTAGGGAGACGCTAACTTGAAAACGACTGCTCACTTGAGGTTATTAGTCTTAAAATCTCTCAAATGCAACATGGAGCCAGGATCCTATTCTAAATATGCCCCGTCCTGCGTCTTGTGGCTGTTCAGGGCAGGGACCATCTGTTCACTATTGAGAAAGCCACCGTGGACTAGAGTGCATGTCATGACTTTTAATGTATAACTACAGTATGCATATACATACAAGTGGGAGAACTAAAGCCCAAGAACTATAAAGGCTACAAAATACAACACACGGACCAATACATTTACAAAACATTCAAAATCCTTACAAAATGGGCTGTATTGGTCCTTTGTTCTTTTTACAAACTTAGACTGTGTGGCCACTGGGGGTGAGGTGGAGGTGGGGGGCAGTTCATAGATTTGTTTCCCTTCCCCTTCCCATCCCCCACAATTTACAAGTGTCAGGAAGGAGGGGGAAAATGCTATAGACCTGGTCTGGTTTCTCTTGATAAAGAGCTGACCCTGTCCCATAGGGCCCAGGGTATGTCTTCTTCCAAGAAGAACATGGAAGGTATTCCAACTGTTGTGTTCCCTGCTGTCAGCTTTAGGTGGAAAGAAAAAAAAAGGGGGGGGAGAAAAGATAAAGAAGGGGGGGGAACTGGACCTTAATCCCAAACCCACCCCCCACCCCCATTCCATAGCACCCCATATTCCAACACATCCACATTTTTAACAGCTTAGTGATTTTAAAGGTCCCCTGTCCACATAAAGAAAAAATAAGTTACATAATATTAAACTGGCTTTTCAATATTCTTTGGGAGTCCGGGAATGTCAGGACAAGGAGATCTGCCCTAGACAAGTGCTTGGCATCAGCAGCTGCCCCTTTATTACAAGCTGAACAGGCGCCAGTTTATCCACCTGCCTTTCACACAATTTGCACAAACCCAAAAAGTCCAGACAAAGGTTTCGGTTCCATGTATTTACACGAGTTCAAAATGATATTCACAGCATCTTCTAAATTTTGGCCAAGAGTCAAAAAAAAATGTGTTTAAACTTTGGAACGTGCCCACAAAGATGGGAGACTTCCCCGAGGCCAGGGTGGATACCCAAAAACCAAGGGGGCTGGAAAGGTCAGGAAGAGCCAAAAGGATTCTTCAGTCAATTTGTGAAACTCGGTGGCATGGGGGCCCTTCAGGCTGGCACGCTTACAATGCAAGAGGCAGCCCGTCTAACTGGCACCAGTCCCTTCCATCACTTGCTGAGCCTGCTTCTGTCCCATGCAGCACTGTGCAACTGACTGGAACAACCTAGAGGAAGGGGGACAAAACGTTAAGAAGTCAGGTTCCTAGGGTGGGGGGAGGGGGGCGCGCACACGCCGCGGCGGCCCAGCAGCGCCCATGTGCAGTGTGCCCCCTACCAAGGAGTCCTGGCCCCAGTGCGAATGTCTTACAGCCTGAATATTGCTTTGTACAACAGGGTGTGTTAACAGAAATCTTGATCCTGGTTTATATACATCTCCAAGGTTTGAAAACATATATTATTAATGTTGAGAACTTCCCAATGAGTGCATGAACACCTCCCTGCTCAACCCTAAAAAGTCAAGCTTCCCTCCCCAGTTCAGAAATCACACCACACAAGCAACTCACTTTTCAATTTCTGGGGCACAGTGAACAAACTCATGGTTCCAGAACTTAAATGCTGGATTTTTAATCAGCTCAATGAAGGTAATGAGAAGACCCCAAGGATGTGGCCTATTTACAATCAACCGTTCCAAGAGAACCCTGTAATAGAAGATGGGGGTAAGGGAAGACGTTACAGAACCAAAAGAGAGCACAGACTCATTCAGCTTTTCAGTTACCATTTCTACAACTGGAGTCATGTAAGACTTAATTTGCACTTTCACACAGCAGTGGATCGGGGGTGAGGGTGAGGGAAGATGGTCTAGAAGAGAGATTCTGAACCCTGTGTTACAGAACTGTCTGGCAGTCTGGCGAAGCCCATAGACCTCTCAAACTAAGATTTTTAAATAACTAAAAGTTAAAGATACAATTTTTCTCCTATCCAAGTTTATCAATCCCCTTGGACACCCATGGACCTCAAGTCAAAAACCCACTCTAGAAACTTGCACTGAGTTTCACCTGGTGATCTGTTCCTGGATAGCTTCAGTGTTGGCCTCTGCAAAAAGGTACAGCATGGTACAACTGAAGTAGTGAGTGTGGCTGTTTGGATACCGCAGCTGATTGGCAATTGCATTCAAGAAGAGGTACCGACCTGGAAACAACAATGAGACTGAAGACTCTGTGCTAACCGCAGGGCCAAGGATGAGACGCCAGGCATGCTGGCACCTGGTCTTCTGATTTCACTTTACAGAAAGCTTTTAAAGAAACCAGCTAAAATGTGAATCCATAGGTGGAATCATGGCAGGAAATAAAAAGGGTACTGCATTAGTGAAAGCCTTGACTTGAGCTACAGTTCCAGCATTTACGAGTTATGTGACCACAAATAAGACAACGTGCCAAGGACTCAGTCTTCCTCTGTAGAAGTAGGACAACTTGTCAGATTACCTGTCCTTAGGGAATTGTTGTGAGGAAAGCTCTCAAACTTTGTAAATGCCTGATCAATGAAGGTGCTAAATAAATTGTCATTCACAACAAAGGGGCCTAACTTTCTTTTCCATCTGCCTGCTTGCATGTACTGGGAAGGGATGGAGACTCAGACACCTGAAGGCCTGTTTTCTTCTACAGTCAACAATGCTCAATTAAAGAAGAACATTTCCTTAGGACACCTACACATTCCCACATTAGAATTCTGAGTTTCCTCACAGACACGTGAAGCCCGTTTCCACACTGCCGAACAGTCATCAGTGACTAGAATAGTGACTGACTCTCTCACCCACCACTGACTTACCTTCCGTGTCTAGGTCCACAGCCAAGTTCTGGAAGATGTCCATGTGCGCCGAGTGAGTGATGGTGCTCATGGACGGCGTGCTGCCTTTGTTGTGGATGTGGGCGATGGCCTGAGTACCGACATAGAGCACCAGTGCGTTTATCAGCTGGATGTTGTAGCGATTGCCAGGTTCGTTTGATACCTAGTAAGCAAAGCCAGAGTTAAGCCTTCCCCCTAAGTATTCTCATCAGGCCACTTTATGGCGAAAATTTCCAAATGTCTCTTTATTTTTGAGGCATATAGAGAGAGGGTCCACATGATCAAAGCCCTATCCCTGAATGATGTCATTCATTCAAGGGTAAGCCACAACAGAATTAAGGGGATGTTAACATTCCAAATGCTGGCATCAACCCCTAAAAAGGGGGGAGAAGACACAGAGGAAGGGTAACAAGAGACAAAGAGTCAAGGTATCCCATTAAGCAAATTAGCGTATCCTCACAAAGCTGGAAGGCAGGCGCTGAATGCTGGTGTATTACTGGTATAGTGCCTCCTTCACTCCTATGGAGCTAGTACAAATGCTTAAATAGGCATAATGCTCATGTACATCTCATCTGACCAACACTGAAAATAAATCTAATCAGTCTTTCTAATCAAGGCCAAAAAGGGGAACGAACTGTGTCTAGGACCAAAGGGGCTCCCCATCTCCTGATTAGGGGCAAAGTTCTGATAATCACTTGTTATAAGGGGGGGCTTTTGGTTCAAATATGACTGGGATTAGGTGGCCTCTAGGTCTCTGCAAACTCTAGATCAGGTGATTCTGTCAAAGTACTAATTTAAAAGCAAGTTGCCAGGCAATACAGGAGTGAAGAAATTTAAAAAGCACCAATCGTGATCACTGCACGGTATAATCACTGAGGAGTGAATGGAAAACACTGAAGAATTGTGAAAATCTAACCTGTAGGTTACTGCGCAAATCAGACAGGAAAGTGACTGGCGATCGAGTTTTCAGATAGGAATCCAAATCCTTTTTGAACTGAGGAGGCATCACTCCAGTGAAATTAGTGAGGATCCGAGGAGCAATGTTGATCTCACTCAACATGTCCACCTGTTGAGGACAGAGGCAAAAAGACTAAATGCTGACATCTCAGCTATAAAGAAAAACAAAGCAGCTCTAAAATGGACCCATCTTAACAATTAAACTCTTAAAATCACTGCTGTCTGTGGACACTGAGTACAAAGAGCCTCCCACCACACAGCACCCCAAGAGCGAGAAGACTCAAGGACTTGCGATCCATCATCTTTCACTCATTCACTGAGCACCCGGCTCCGGATGTGGTAGAAGAGTTAAGAGGTGCCTCTTCCCTACTTGTGAGCTGCCACCATTACGGCTTTTTACCTTCAGGTTGGGAGTGAATGGGTCTGGTAGCCTCATGTTTCGTGGAAAGGCACTCAGGATCAGATTCCTTAACTGGATGCAATTGGGTGGGATCACATCACAGAATCCATAGTGGTAGTCACAAAGAAATTCTGGGAAATCATGCAGGAGAACCAGCAGCACTCGTAAAGTACCCTGTATAGTTAGAAAAGGATTTGGGAGAGGAAGAAGTGGGAAAAGGTCAGCAGCTTTAGCACCAGGCATGTACTGAGAGAGCCACAGGCATGAGCACGCACAAACATTTACTCCTATTCCAAATTTG